TGGTACAAATAGGAACAATGAAGATGCACACACTTTACCTTAGCCCCTGTCTTTTGAAAATTTTACTTTTAGGTCCATAGGAGTTGTTTTAGAATGGAGAAAAGTACAAAGTAAGTTTAGTCTCCGGAAAAGTTAGTTTAAATCCCTAAATTCTAGATAGTTATTCTATTCTTAGATTGTCAAAGGCTTAATCTGATTTCCAAAAAGACTTTTATAAGGAATTACAGCTTTGTTATTGTAATTCTAAGATTTAATAACAAAATCATAAAAAGCTCAATTTTCAAAAAAAGAATCTAAGACTAGGCGAGAAATCCGGAAACATTAGTTTTAAGTCCACAAAAGGAAAAGGAAAAAAAACATTGTCTACAAACTTTAGGCAGGCCTCTAAATTCCATAAATTTTAGTTTGAAGTAAAAATGCATACTTTAATAAAAAATATTCCTTTTCAGGTAGTGTAATACTGAACCCTTATCTCCATAAATATCATTTTAAGTGTAAAGGTGATAATGCTAAAAAAAATACTTAAAACTGTGTAAATTATATCTTTTCTCATCTCTGTCCATTTATATAGTTCATTTTGTTCTTCCACTCACAGAATGACAAATCTATCTTTTCTATATTTATAAAAACTTTCACTTGATTCTCCTATTTATTTAGGATTTAATTTCTCATTTTAATTTGACAGCCAAGATATATTTTAATAATAATAATCACTAAGTTCTTCAATAGACAAAGTTTTTACGTGTAACTACTAATATCTATCCTCTTTATAAGGTCGGTTTATGATATGTAATCAAGGACTATTGTTTCTTATATTTTTAGTTTAATCTACAAATATGAATGATGTGAGAAATATATATATTAGCCTTGAGGGATAATGCTCGTCAGTGTAAAATTATGCAACCGGCATGGGCTAAAGTGCAAAAAATTAAAATGTTTTAATGGTTTTCTAAACTTCCAAACTTATCAGGTGTTTCAAAAATTTTGTGGACTTAGTTCCAAATGACAGAATTTATGAGAGTTTTAGTGAAATTTATCTTTAAAATGTAGGGCTAATAATAAACCACTAATCACTCCTTTGTATATACAAAAGATGAGAATTAAAAACATGATTATTTGTTTTTGTTTTTGTTTTTTTATCATGTATAATCAAAGAGAATTAAAATATGATCAATATATTTTTTAATTATAGATAATTTAAGAGAATTAATTATTAGATTTTGTTGTATCGCCAAATTGAAAAGAGACCTTCTGTAGTTCTATTTATTGCGAATAGGCCCCCTATAGTTCTACATGTTGTGAATAGACCACCTGTGTGAATCTTTTTGCTCTTGAAATTGTTAAAATTCCCACATACAGTTCTATCAGTGAGTACAGAGACTCAATTGCTTTGACTTTTAAAAGAGTAAAAAAGGTTCACTACGGAGTGTATTCGCACCTAGGTCAATACTTCAAGGTGCCTATTTACATTAAGTAGATCTATAAGAGATCTATTTTGCCACAATTAGAACAACATGAGGTCTCTTGCAATTGAGTGATACAACAAAGGCTATGTTTACAATAAATTCAATAAATAAACTCAAAATATATACCAGGATATTTGGCCACGTGCAATGCATGCTAGTGATTAAAAAATATGCTTGCTAATTAATCAAATTCCGATATAACTCCTCAAAAAAAAAAACTTCTATATAGAACTTATTAGCATTATGTTTTAAATTTAGAAAATATCTAAGTACAGACTAACTTTCCCCTTCGATTTAAGTTGTAGAGAATCATGAGATCATGTTTAAGATTAGGAGATCAAAATAACAGAATAAATAAACTTTGGGAAATGAATGCATTGTAAAAGGAACTATACAGTCCTAAAGATGGACTCGATTAAATTGCCTCATAGATAATTTGGTTACAGATACAGTCTGCACCCAAAAAGATATGAGAGAAGGTACATTTGTACATGAGAGCAAACTAAGCTCGGCTACACGCATAGCTATTACGGATCTTCTAATATGTTGCACACACATAGCTTCGAAATGAAGATGCACAACATTCATCGCCAACTGAATTAGGATCTGGGGGGTGAACACAACACCGTGAAGCGTATGAACAACACAGTGAATCACATTCCAATTGAATTCTCCTTCAACCATTAGATTTCTCAATTCAAAGAGCTTTGAGGATACTAGCAGTTGAATTAGGAGCTGTTTGGAAAAAGGTTTTTTAGGGGGAAAGGGCTGGAAAGCCTGCCAAAACCTTGTCAAAAGTGCAACTTTTAGCAAGTTTTCCACCCAAATCGCCTCTAAAAGAGGCGATTTGGGTGAAAAGCCTGTCAAAAGCTGCACTTTTGGCAGGCTTTCCCCCTAACCAAATCGCAAACAAACAGCCCCTTACTTGGCCATGATGTTAGAGCTGAAGGACTTGCCTCCTTTTTAGGAGTTGACATTCCCTATTTTAGCATCATGAGTCATGATATGCTTGCAGTCGCAGACATAACACAAATCCTTTCAAGAATCCAACAAGACACAATTAAGGAGCTATCATGAATCTCAATAATACAATTATTATTAAGAACCTATATCTCACAAAATAATCAACTCTCAGTATTTTCCCTCTCACCAATCAACAAACAAATGCCTTCTCAACTACACATTTTACACAATAGACGGCCCCAATCAAGAATCAATAGAATTGTACATAACTCTCACAAAAGTCCTGTATATGTATTTGCCCCTTGGACGGGCATCCCCGTGCCATACGGGTACATACCCGTATTCGCTGCATAGGGGGCCCCAAAAGGGTTCATGCCTGGTTGCTGTATTTGCTGGGTATGGCTGCTCATCTGCTGCTGAAGCATGAATGCTTGCTGCTGCTGAGCCATGGCTGACATTTGAACAGAGTAAGGAGCGGCGACTGTTGATGAGGCGTAGAATGGATCGGGGGCCATCATCGGTTGCATTGCTGAGCCTGCTGCCATTGGATTTGGTGTCTCCCATGGATTGTAGCTTGTTGGTTGGTTTGCTCTTCTGATTGCGTCATCGTATAAACTGTCTAATGTCAGCTTGTCTAGACCTCCAGCCTGTGAATCAAGTGAAATTCATTAACTAGAGTAGTAGATATAAAACATACATAAAGTAGGAGTAAAGAATGATAGGAAATGAAACAGACTACTCAACATTTATGTATCAAGGTGTCACCCCCTCCTAGATGGTCGTCTACCTCGGTGTAGACAATATTATCATACCAAAAGGAAGATAATCACGCATTTAGGGAAAGGGGGACGTAGACTGTCTGCATGACTTAATTCATTTCGAAAAAAATCTCTCCTTCCACTCATTCACAACACCTGTAGTACTAGTTATTGTCCAGCAACGATAATTAGATGATATTTTCGACCATCAACACACATGCAAGAAATCCTGAAAGTATCTAAGGTAGTATTTGCCTATTTGGAAAAGGTTCAAGAATTCGGGGTTAAGGAAGAGGGTTAAGCTAGTTAATCCATTGTGAACAGAAAAAGGGTTGAATTGGGGAGCCTGTTAGATCAGATTTATGTCAATCACTGAACTAGGTTTAGCGTTTGGGAAGAGGGAGGTGTTATTTCACTTTTAACCAGCTAATGAGTAGGACTAGTAGAAGTGTAAAACCCCTCATTTTTAGGACTTGTTAACCCTTTAGTAGTTTTTGTGTTTGGAAGATTAAGACACATTAAATCACTTTATTATATAGTTTTGTGTTTGATGGGATAAGGAGGGGTTACTACTTCTTAAACTCATACGTTACTCGTCACAAACAATGCCTAGGATTTTCCAAATAGATAGACTTAAGTACCAAGTTTCTTGTTGATTTGTTTTCAAAATACAAGCGCAAAGATTTTTAGTTATAATGATGACGAACAAAAGTAGAACTTTTTCTTGATTATGTCGGTTGTTCTCAGTGAGAGTTTCATAATGCTATAAGCAAAAAATTAATAAAGTACTTTTTATTTTATTTTCTTGTAACTTGTTGGGGGGGAAAAGCCACAAAGTAATAAAAGCCAAATTTCAGCAGAATAAAAAATTAACCACAAGTTGGCTTAAGCGTGGCATTTTGTGTAAGCTAACAAAAAATTATTACAGCCTTTATGGCAACAGAAGTTTGATAAGATTAGAGATAAAATTTCTCAGTACCAGTTTACTTGAGGCTGCTGCAGTCTCATTTGAGCTCGGAGCAGTAACCAGTGCCAATTCCCAGCCTGTTGTTCCATTCTCCGAAAAATTAGCAGAGGGAGCTGTAGTTGATACACTATCTGCAATATTGAAAATAAAAAAATTGGTCGTCAAGATACTAATTCTTGAAATTATATGTATGCAAAGGCAACCAGCAAGTAATTTACCAACTGGAACAATGGCAAGTGCCAAAGCATTTTTATTTTCTAAGTCCAAAGCATCCGGGTTGGTCTCATTTAAGCCCTGAAAAATTAAAGTAAAGAATTAGGACTCAATATAAATATTTCTTCAAGTAAATGTAATTGTAAGTGTAAAACAGAAATAAAATATTACCAGAAGATCAATTTCCTGAGATACTGGAGCTTCCTCCTTGACAGGTTCAGGAGGTGGCGTGGGTGGCTTTGGTGCTTCCTCTTCCTCTTCGGGAGTTTTTTTGTACTCTATTGCCAGTACAACCTTTGGGGTTTCCTTCTCCTCTTTCACCTGAATGAATATAAATGTTTAAATGAGCAGTTAGTACATAGGTGGAGTAAATGACATTAGGCTTTTCTTCACTTTGGTACCCTAAATTTACCCGTTTTTCCACTTCGATACCCCGAAGTATTTTTTTTTTAAAAGCACTGTGATACTCTGAAGTTTCAATCTCATTTCACTTTGATACCCTAAAGTTTTCTGTTAAGTTTAACGGGAAATCAGATGAAATCTGGATGGGAGTATCAAAATGAAATGGGATTAAAACTTTACAGTATCAGAGTGTTTAAAAATAATTTGTGAGTATCAAAGTGAAAAATGGGTAAAGTTTGGGGTTCCGGAGTGAAACTAAGCCATGAAATTATGAGGATAGCTAGTTACTGATCAGGACAAAGATGGAACTAGTTCCAGAAAAGCAAATTTGTTATTTTCTGACCATATCAATATTATGAAACTTGTCAGAAAATGGAACAGCAAAAACTACTAAAAGCATGTGGTTATTGTATACAAAGCATGCCATGAATTTTCTAATAAAAGCTTTAAGAAAATCAAGGGAGCTCTCACACCTGATCTTTGCGAACTGTTGAAGCTCTCGGAGCATCTTTCACATACTCCTCCATGGCTTGGAGGAATGATGCAGGGGGCTGCAATAATATTATTAAAATAATTCAAATGCATTAGAACTGACAACTTAAATTTATAATCAATACCATATCGAAGTATGAAATACATTTCAGAAAATGGTACCTGTTCTATCTTAATAAATTTTTGTCCACGCCCAATATCAATGCTTTTACATACTTCATAGAATTCCGACAATCTCTCTGCCTGCAAATCGGTAGGTTCTAACTTAAGTCAAAATTTACGCTGGAGCTGAGCTAATATTTACTATCCTTGATTACCTTTCATATTCTCATTGTAGCCATTATATTGCCATATGTCAAAATAACAATACACAAGCAACTAACCATTAAATACTGCTAAAAGAGAAGTGAACAATTATTATCTCTCAATTCCTCGATGTCAAAATACGGTCTTGTTTCTACTCCTAAATTTGTGAAAGCAATATTCACAATATACTTGGTTTTGTTCTACTAATTCTAGACCCTTAAGATTCTATCCACATTCTACTTTACGAAGTATCCCTTTTTTCAAGTAGTATGATCCAATAGCAAATAAGATACTTCAAGTAGTATAATCCAATAGCAAATAAAAATGCACCACTAAACTAACTAATAACTTTCCCAACTAACTCATGAGTTTAACTAACTAATAATGTTAAAAACTATCTCATAATTTTAACACATAAGTTTAAGAACCAACGTTAATCACAACCTCATTGAAGTGTTTAACAACAAATGAAAAAGGTTTAGCAATAAATGCATAACCTTAACAACAAAATGAAAAAGACTAGCAAGGTTATCTACAACAAAATGAAAAAGACTAGCAAGGTTATCTACAACTAATTCTAAGAGAAGAACTTCTAGTGTGATGTCTTTTCCATTGACTGGTAGAAGTAAGTCTTAAATTTAGTCTCTCTAACCATTAGACTAAAACTTCGAAGTCATGGTAGGGTCGAGAATTATAGTTTTATATTAATTCTAACATGCCCCCGCAAGTTGAGCACCCTTTTTATGGGTTGAAAACATGGACTCACGCAGCAGTAACAATATTTCAGAAATCGTGGCCAACAAGATTCAAACCTGGGTTGCTCTGTATCATCTTAAAGAAGTCGCTCTAATCATTACACCAAAACTCTAAAGTTATGATGAGGGTCGAGTATTATAGTTTTATATTAATTCTGACAATAAGATGCAGCTTTTGTACAAGGAATCTATAATTTACCTGTTGACCTGCCTTCCTATATATGTCAAGTGCCCTAACAGCGTCATGTCGCTTCATCTCAAAGAACTGAAAACCATGACAATAGCTATTAGATATAAAAACAATAGCACATAATGTTGTAATAAGAAGTAAAATAATAATACCTTGTCAACCAAATTGATTGTACCATCACTAATTGCATTATAGATCTTTACACTCTCCCCAGCAACCTAACAAGATAAAATATGAAACGATGAGAATAGAAAGACTTCCAGGAATAACTTAAAATATGAAAACATACCAAAAGTCAAAACTAGTAAAGTTCCCTTACCATTGAAAGAGCCAGCTGAATCACAAAATTATAAGAAGCTGAACCTTGTGGCTGCATAAAAGTTTTCAATTAGACCACAATCCAAGTGCATTTAGTCCAGCTGAAATAACCACTGATACTGGAAGCTAATTAAGCGCATAACTTGGGCAGAAGGGATATTACCTGGCAATTAAGTAGACGAAATAAAAGCTGTTGCATTGCTGGTAACTGTTCAAGTAACTCAGCAGTGTCAAGATCCCGAGTTCTCTGCAAAAGTCACACTTTTGTCAATAATTTCTTGCTCCACTAAAGAGATTCAAAAGAAAATACTGGTGATCAATTTAAAATGTTAATGAGGCTGAATAGTTAGAAGTTGCCTCCAACTGATACTATTAAACAAACTCAATTTAAATGTGGATGCATCATATTCTGAAACTGAGTAATAACTAAAGGGCTTATGAAGCTGGATAGCTAGAAGCTGCCTCCAACTGATACTATTAAACAAACTCAATTTAAATAAGGATGCGTGATATTCTGAACTTACTACCCCTCTAGTTTTATTGCTGCAGATAGACCTCTGAATGAAAACAAATTCACTCTATTACCCTCAGCAGTCTGTTTGCCAAAAAAAACCAATTTTCTCTTTCTCCAACAGTAAGAGAGTTAAAAATAATTCACTTAGAGGTCTATTTCAAATATTAAAACTAGAGGAGTAATCAGTTCAAAACAGTGATACTACATGGGGGCTATCCACAATTAACCTTAACTAATAAGCAAATACAAAATCAACGAGGAAAAAACAAGGAAAACTAGGATAAGATGCGTACCGGAGGATCGGTTTCAACATCATACTTGAGCACACGAAAGCACTCAAGTCTTTCTTCTAAAAATAAAGCATATGTGCGCACCCATGCGGAATAATCCCAAGCTGAAAATAACATAATTACCATAAGTAATACATTTTTTATGAGAAAATACCATAAGCCATACATGTGCACACAATTTTCCTTCACTTAAAAGTTTGGTTAGGATGCCTACCATTTGCACTGGAATCATCCTTAAAATGGGACATGTTAAGCATATGGCTTCTGCTTCTTCCATAGTTTATGAGTTCTTCGCGAAAAGTGGGATCAACTTCCCTCAGAGCACGATGTATAACAATTAACGTTTTTAAGGCAACCTGATGAGACAATGTTGGTAAAAAAATTCAAATTACAGGGATGATGTTGAGGATAAATTATAGCTCTCATTCTACAAATAATAAGTCAAGAAAAACCAAATGATTAATATATGACTGTTTTCATGCTGGGGCCAAAATTACTTTTAAAAAAGTGCGGAAAAGAGAAGTCCAATAAGAAAATAGTTCGACACATACCGCCCAGTTATGTGTCTTTGCGAGACGTCTTGCAAGCGCATGAATGCAATAAGCCACGTCTGCTCGAGGCCTTGAAGCCGAGATGGAATAGAAAATAGCTGCAAGAAATGTAATTAAGTTCATCAGCACATAGTAATTTATTGATTATAAAGAAGTAAAGGAAAAGGTCGTTGGCAATTATTATTGAAAATCACAGTTGCGAGGTCTATGATATCTGATTAGAGTCGGGTTAGAAGTTACAGGGTCACACTTGAAGTTGCCACCAGGACAACAGGTTAAGATCAATGTGAATTCAGGCAATGTACTATTTATAAAGAAAATAGTCTTCCACTAAACTCCGAGATAGCCCTTGATAGATCTTGAATGCTGAAAAAAAATTCATACAACGGAATGTAAAATAAACATAAAAGCTAGCGATAGAGGCTTCATTATTGAAATTAGCTAATGGTCAGTGATTGGTCATCTATGGACTATATTAGTTCTCTAATACGAATTTACAATCTTGTTTCTGAGAAGAAAGCAGAACATAGTATGCTACCATCTTTACCTAAGCAACATACGGGCAAGAGGAAGAGGCAGCAACAACATAGAAGGGACAAAAACTTATGTTTTTCTAATTACAAGCATTGAATTCGCATGACTAAGTTGCAATATACATTTGACAGTGGCACTTATAGATAGTTTGCAGGACTAATACTGCTAAATTAGACAACAAATTCACATCTTTTGGCTACATTCCCCTCGCTACCATAATGTATGATTTACCTCGTATTTCTCATATTCTAGATCACTCCTTAGTGAAACATTAGAATAAACCAATTATGACTTTCATAACTCAAATCCATAAGCAAAGAAATTGAATGCTACTGACCTTTTACGTGTTTCTCCTTTGCGGGACGCTCAACATGATTAGTAGCCCTTACTATTGCAATATCCAATTCCTAGAGTTCATCAAAAATTCAACAAAAAAAAATCAAAATAAGTGTCACGAAAAGGAAATTAAATTGTAACACGAAAATTCTTACCTTGTAATCACTGTTCACTTTGGCGAGGGTAACAGTAGTAGTGTCCTTTACAGCTCCAATATACTTCCGCAAGCTCGTTTGTGATCCCCCTACAGCCATTCTCCTCTCTCCAACTCAGGTTTCTAAACAAAGAACAAAATGTAATCAAACAAGGCCAAATCGAAATGTTTACATATCGCACCTAAGACCCATATCGATTTTAAATATTAAATTTTCATTAAAAGAACATAACGACCAAATTCCGATCCACAACACAGAAATACGAAATATACATCCCACCATCGATTCACGCAGTATTAAAATAGATCACTTTTTCCTGAACTACACAATTCAAATGAATCACAAAAAATCATACTATAACTAAAAGTAAATCATGTGATACATTCATTACCCTACCGAACCCAATTCCTCAGATGATGCAAACAATAGCTGCTCACGGTAGCCCAAAGATCTGAGCTTTTCTCAATTCACCAGCTATTCATTTTAACCTTATCTTGAATAAATAGACTACCAACCCAATCAAATTCCCCAACCAACAGATGATTTGCAAATTACCCAATCCGAAAAGGGAACTCAACCCACTGCCAAATTAACCTGTTAAATCACAAAACTCAAAACCCA